GGAGCCGGGCCCAAGGGCCTGTCCCACCACCCCACTTCCACACTGGAGTCCCTGAGCGAGGCTCCAGTGTCCCCCCCCCCTCCGTCCCCCACCCCACAACACTAGCAGAGTTCACATTGGGCTGGAAGGAGATAGGGATGGCAACAGTGCAGACATTCATTCACTCCTCTCCCGAGCGCCAGGCCCTGTAAAGGGCACAGTCTTCGCTGTGGGAGAGCACACAGACATAAAACCAACAGTCTCATGCATAACTATATCATTACAATGGTACCGAGAGCCATGGAAAGTTGATATATAACCTAAAGTGTCCCGCTCTGTCCCGGGCAGTGACGGAAGATATCACCAGTGAGAGCTTAGGGGTTATGGCTCCATAAAAGCTTTCAAATGCGCAGCTACGGTCAGGCTCACCTTAGATGGGAGTGCTTGCTCTTGGGTCACTGTGACCTGTTAGCCTTTCTAGTGTAAAAGTTGAGTACAGAGATTTCACTCTTCCAGGTGAGAATAACAGTGCCCAACTAGGAATGCATGTGGAACTAAAGAAAGGGCTTCTGGGAGGAAAACTAGCATTTATTGAGCGCCTACTATTTTCCTAGTGGTGTATGGCACTTTATTCTTACAATAGTCTGTGGTAGGGCCTAGGGTTAGGTTTGCCACCATACCCTAGCGGACTGTGAGGCTTAGCAGAGTTAACCCTCTCCTACCCCTAGTGCCAAGGCCTTGCAGCAGCCTCAATTCTCAACCCATTTCTCTGGCCTCAAGGTCCAGGCCTGCCTCACAGGGAGACGCTGTACAGAATCCCTCTCAATTGTGTAATCTGATTTTCTAGATGCTACGATCGTGTACTGTGCTTATTAACGAGAGGCACAATGTAACAAATTTGGCAATCAAATAATGATCAGTAGGGGCACGGCCGTGTCTTCCTCTCCACACTATGAGCGTGATAGGCCTCTTGCAATCTGATCAATTCACTGAGCATCTGCTTGATACAAGGAGCTGTGAACTCAGCTCCAGCAAAGGAGCGGGGTCACCCCCGAGATCTCTACGACATGGATGAGCTCTGCTCTGCCCAGGAGAGGGGAGGAGGAGGGAATCAGACAGCCGGACAGAGCCAGGGGCAGGGAAGAGGCAAGCAAAAGGTCCCCGCATCCTCTGACTAGGCAGTAGCCAGGCCACTCCCAAGCCCAGGTGACCCCTGCCAGTGGGGTGCCAACGTCCATGTTTGAAGATACAGTTTCGTAGCTTTTCTTGCATCTCGTCTTTGCAGTAGCTGAGGCAAGGAGTCGTGACCTCCATGGGAACCCAAACCACCCTGCTCAGTTTCCAGCAGGATCAGGGGGAGGACAGTGAGACCTGAAGGAAAGAGTGCCTGGCTGGCACGGAAACAGCCCTAGGGCCTGATCAAGCCTGCCACCCTGCAAGGGGCTCTGTTTTCTGATCAGTATGCCTGGAATAAAAACATCTAGCCCCAGGCTGGGGAGATAGCTTCATGGTTGAAGTGCCCGCCGGGCAAGTATAAGGACCCAGGTTCAGTCACCGGTACTGCGTGCCATGCCAGCCCCAGAACCATGGGCATGTCGTGACAGCCACCAAAACTGAGTGTGATGGTGCATGCCTGTAATCCCAGCTCTGGAGAGGCTGAGACAGGAGGATCACTAGGAGTCTGAGCTATGTAGTGAGACCCTGTACCAAATATAAATAAATAACTAAATACAATCTAGCCCCAAACAGGGCAGGCACCAGATACATGGAAGTGCTTTGGGGGAATAAAATTTTCTGTAGGCCCTTGACCTACAGAAAATGTCATTCCCCTCTTCAGATATGGTTCACTAATGTAAGAAAATGAAAACTGGATTCACAACTAAGGCCATGAGTTCTCACCCCGCTCTTGCGACGGGTGGCTGTGTTTTGTCTGGGCCTATCTCTCAGCCACTGGATCATTCAGCCGCTGCTTTTATTGAGTAAGGAATAAACGGCTCTTTCCTGGAACTTGTTTGTTTTTGTTTTTGTTACCAGGAGTTGAACTCAGGACCTTGGGTTTAGGAGGCTGGCGCCACGCCACTGAGCTATACCCTAGGCTCTGTTTTGGATTTCTGAGGCCAGGTCTTGCTTATAGTTCAGATTGGCCTTGAACTCACTGTGTGGCACAGGCTGGTTCTTAGTGCATGGTGATCGCTAACTTATGGGGGTCAGGGGGAAACCAGCAGAGCCCATGGGCTTGCATAAAGGCAGCTTATCCTGGAATTTAACATCACTTGCCCTGAACTAAGAGAAGCGTGCCCGTCTTTGTAGGGATGGCGAAGGCAGGTGCCCTTCGGCTGGAAGATTCCAATAGAGATCTCTGGTCAGAGCACTTTGGCAGTCTCGCATCTCGGTAAGCAAAGTCCTTGAAGTGTCCCGTGTAAGTTTTCAGGAGTCTCCAGACAGACTCAGGACCTGAAAAATTCCTCATGCTATCTTATCTTCTTTCCTGTGCTTGTGGATGATAGTCTCAGTCCTCAGTGGAGTTTCCTGCTGAGAGCCGAGCTCCCTGCAGACACTGGTGCGCAGGCGGGGGGCTGGGG